TATTTTTTAAATATTATTTGAGGTTCAGTATTTAATTCATGGACTTGTTTCAGTTCCTAGGTTTGCTGGTCATGTTGAAAATTAAAGCTTTTTCTAAGTTTTGAGTTTAATTTTTTAGATTTATTTTTGTTTGTAGTAAAATCCATCTCATGGGAGGTTTTCATCTTTCTTTTTTGTTTTATGTATTTTTTTTTGTATTTTTATTTTAAAATTACACACGAAACAAAATATAACACATAAGCGAAACAAGCAATGCTTATTTAGCCTTAGATTAGAATTGAGTTAGGATTGACCTGAGGTAAACTAGGTTTATAGCTTAGGTCAGTTCAAGATTGAGCTTAGATGGGGTTGACCGAGGTTAGACCTGGGCTGACCTAAGTTGACTTGGGTTACCTTGGGTTGGCTTGGGTTGACTTAGGTTGGCTTAGGTTGGCTTGGGTTGGCTTGGGTTAACTTAGGTTGGATTGGGGCTGGGATAGGTTGGGCCCGAGGCTAGGTTAGATCTGGCCTGGGCCTGGGTTAGATCGGTCCCGGGGTGTCGGTCAACTTTTTCGATAGATATAGATTTGTGGGCCTGGGTTAGATCGGTCCCGGGGCTGGGTTGGGTCTGGCCCGAGTTGGATCAGATTAGGCCCAAGTTGGGTCACGTCGAACCTGGGTTGGGTTAGGGTTTGGTTTAGTTAAGTTAGGGTTTGGGTTTGGTTTAGGTTAGGTTAGGGTTTTGTTTAGCTAGTTTGGGTTTGGTTAGGTTAGGTTAGCTTATGGTTTTAGTTTGGTATAGGTTAGGTTAGGGTCTGGGTCTGGGTTTGAGTTTGGGTTTGGGTTTTGGTTTTGGTTGGGTTAGGGTTTGGGGTAGATTTTGGTTAGGTTAGGGTTTGGCTTATTTTAGGGTTTGAGCCTATTTTTGGGTCAGGATTTGGTTTAAATTAGGTTAGGTTAGGGTTTGGGCTTGTTCTTAGATTAGAGTTAAACCTAAATTGGATTATTGTTTAGGGATTGACTTACGTTAGGTTTGAGCCTATTTCTGGGTTAGGGTTGAGCCTAAGTCGGTTAGAGTTAGGCTAGGTTTGGATCGACCCGAGTCGAGTCAAAGCCAGGCCTAATCCAAAGCTTTTGAACGGGTTAACCTAGCCTAACTAGACTTACGAAAATAAATTCTTAAATTAAAAGAGGAAAGAGAAGCTTATCGGAGAGGAGGCAGACCGAGGGGAGGAGGTTGACCAAAGGGGAGGAGGCTCGCCAGAGAACTTCCTTCTTCCTCGGAGCAGTGGAGAATAGTGGGATGTCTGCCTCTACGTTCGAGATTGAGCGTGTCAAAGAGTGTCGAGGATCACATATTTATAAGTCGGGAAGGTGGTGACAGAACCCTCAATCACCATCCGATTAGGTGGTGAGTCAAAGGCCTAATGAATCTTACGGTTGGAAGAGCTACAGATCGCCGCAGGTGAAACTATGCGACGGTTCGTGCTTGGATCCATGGACGAAGGTCGCAGGTTGATGGTGTGGCACTAGGAGTGATCACGCTGACCTCCGTCGACCGTCATCGACTACCGTCTACTACCGCTAACTAGACGCCGTCAGTCGACGTTATAACTTGGAAAACTAGTAACTCTTTTCCGTCTGTGGGACAAGGGGTCTCTGAATAATCAATCAATAGTGAATTTTTGCAATTGGGCCAGATCCCGTGGTTTTTTCCATTTCCGGGTTTTCCACATAAAAATTTCTAGAGTCATCACTGCTTCTTTTTTTTTTCTTTTTCATCTGTATGAGTGTTGAATTCTCGTACAACGCTAAGACGATAATCCATTACTCTATCGCTGCGGGTTTTCCAGCACGCATTAGTTTTTATTTTTTATTTTTTTTGAGTTGGTTTTCCAACACGCATTAGTTTTTATTTTTTATTTTTTTTGAGTTTCAAGTCAAGCATATAATATTAGTTTGACTAATCAAAAGTTATTCATTTTTTTAAATTTTCTTCTATTAGTCTATTTTTTCATTGAAACGTGATCTCACCTATCAAAAATATATTTTTGTCAAATAGCATACACTAATTCATCATGTTGACTTGACCAGATCCTTGATGTAAGCTTTTTGTGTATGCAAACTCTTTAGCCATACCATGACCATTTGCAGTGCATTCAAGTCATTATTGCATCATGCAACTTTTAAATAAATTCCTTTCCTCAATTTTTGCCAAATCATTTTTTGCGACAATTGTTGGTTGCTTTTGAGAAGCAACCCCTCAAACCTTCTCGAGATGTGTGCGAGCATGAGAATAATTATTTTGAGCTTAAAATGTTTATGTAGATCTGGATTTAAACATTTTTTATAGACACATACCTTAATGATAAATTACTTTTTTTAATCATTGGAGAGTAGTCTCGATTTAGGATGTAAGTTAAGCTCAAATTTTAGTATTTAGGCTTGAATTAATATGAGTGAGAAATGGTTAAGGGGTTTTAAGTTAATCCTATCATGATCCTTTGGTTGCCTCTTTCTAGGTTTACTAGTTTGACTCAAATTGGCAATTTTATAGAGATTTAAACCTTCTCTCAGACATGCCAAGCTCACCATGGTGGAAGTGTGATCAAAGATGTGATTTTGAGATCAGCTTGTACTCATTTAATGCTAGAGGGGTATTTATACAAACTTAAGTTAGTGATATAGCGGCGTATAATGTAGTTGTTGTGATACGTTCTAGGAAGGGGATTTAGTGAGGAGGTTGCGGAATGACAAGGGAATGATAATATGCGAGTTCAAATGCATTTAGATGGGGATAAGCATCGTTTTGGCAGCTTTCATGGCTGAAAACAATAAAGGGAGTTTTGAAAAGGCGATGTACGGATGAAAGTGAGATTCATCACCAATTCCTACATAGCTACAGACGCACCACTTATAAAAGGAAGATGATACAATATTGCTTAAGATAGAAAACAGAGATTACAATATTCAACAAACAAAAAAAATCAAACAAGTCTCAAAATAGTGTAATACATGCATAAATAGTCTCATAATAGAAATGTCCTTTATTAAAAATAATAAAATAGGAAGAAAATTCAAAAAAGGAAAAAAAATCATGCAAAAATTGATAATTGATTGGAATGGCGCAGTACAAGCCTCCTGCGACCGCACAATTCTTTGATTTTGCGATTTTGCGGAAATACCGTGATCAGTATGGCTGAATCACCTCAATCGGGATTGCACATAATAAAATATCCTTAATTAGTTATAATGAAATAGGAAGAAAAATTAGAAAAGGAAAATAATTCATACAGAAATTAATACTTGGTTGGAACCATGCAGTACGTGCCTCCCGTGATCACAAAATTCCTCAATTTGCAATATCATTGAAATACTTTAGTCGGTAACGCAGAAATACCGCAATTGGTATTGCGGAAATGCTTCCATCAGAATTGTAAAAGGCCTGATCCCGCGGCTCTACAAGATGCACCTGCATCATGTTGTGGCTCAAATACTTGTCATGATCATGGTTATCCACGAGATATGGTTCCATACTGTTAAAATAGAGCAATTTCATGCTAAGTCTATTAGTGGAATGTACAAACAACATAAATGTGATCCTTAATTTTTTTTATTGATTTAAGATGCCATTTGATCGAGTACCAATAAAATGGAATTTGCACATGTTAAGAAAAAAAGTGCGGGTAACAAATACATTTTAGTCATTGATGTTCTATATGTGAAGCACTGACTATTCTTAATAGCTGTAGAGTGATTAAACACATAAATAATGTTCAATCATTATAGGATATCGCCAAGGAACAACATTGAGTTTGTACCATTTTATATTATCCCTGACATGCCTACAAATGTTATACAAAATGTGGTAACTTACCATATGCTTTTCACAAATAACATAAATTAGTATGGCTCTGTAGAAGTGGGAAGTTAGCTGAATGGATGAGCAGTTTAGAAGATAGAGGGCATATGATTAATAGAATAAGATGAAATATTTCATATGCATTTTTGGTGCGTGTGATTTAGCATGATCAAACAATCTTTACTAGAAAATATGGTGATACCTATATGTGATAAGTTTTAGTATACTATATTATTATATTAAAGAGTGAGGATATAAATTAAGATGTAACTTCTTGAGTTAAAGATTAGTGGTCAAAATAGTGAATTACCTTTACTATATTATGTGATTAAAGAAGACCATCTGAACTTGTGGTAAATTTCATAGAGTTACAATTATGTTGGTTTTGCTGTATGGATCTATGTTCTGGCTGTAATAAAATTATTAATATTCAATTTCACCATGCCATGAATGAGAATGTTAGACGGATGTGTAAGAAAACTATGAAGGACGAGAAATTCTTTTTATAGAGGAATGTTGGGAGAGGCTTCTATTCTTGATAAGGTATGAAAAATAGATTTAGGTATCGAGACATATATAGAAAATGATAGAAAATACCCTCTTAATTAACTTAATAAATAAAATTAATGTCAAGCCATTTTAAAAGAAAATGGATTGGCCAAAGCTAATATGGATATAAATTTTATAAAGAGGATTTGTACAGGGTATATTTAACACCAAATGTATCAATAAACATCACCTAATGGAGAGTATGGATTCATAAAGCATGCTCGAATAGTTAGGATTAAGACTAATGGCAACAATGATGATTGTATTTCAATACTCGATATTCATGTATAAAGTAAGATATATTATTATTATTTATGTTGTTCGGTCATACTTGAAACTAAGTTGTCCTGTAAGTGTGAATTGGGATCATCCGACCAAATAATTTACACAAGTAACTATATTTGAATTAAATGAGTTATGATTGTCTTCACATATGCAAAATGTCATATTCCTTAGCATTGGACAATTAGTAATATTTTTTAATTGAATTACTTAATTTATGAGGTATAATGAACTTTACTTCCAGTGTTTATTTTGCAATTTTTCCTTCGTTATATTTGAAGTTTCCTATTTTAGATACAATCTTTTGTTAAGTTTTTTTTTGTTGCAGATATCTGATTCTATTGCATTGGCCATGCGCGGTGACTGTGACTTCACCGACAAGGCAAAAATTGCACAGTCTACAGGTGCAACAGGCTTAATGGTGGCTAATGATGATGAAGGTTTTAACTAGTCTGTTTGTTGCATTTAGATCAAAACATTCTTGGACAATATTTAGGGCTGTCAAAAAAACTCGTTGTTCACGAACATCTCATGTTCGGCTCATTTTAGCTCGAATAAGTAAAATCATATAATTATTTATATAATAATATATTTTATATATTTATATTTAAGTTTAAATCATAACAGCTCGTGCGGTAATGTGGTTATGTGGCTTCTTTTGTGTAGATTTGTTCCAGGTTTGAATCCAACACTCTACATCTATTTTTTTCAATTAATTTTAATGAGTCAATTTCAAGCCGAACACGAACAAGAATATTTTAATCGAGTTGAACATGAACACAATATTCACGAGCTGATTTCGAGCACGAGCAATTTAGAAGCCGAATACGAGCCAAGCTTGAGCTCACTCCAGCTCGGCTCGTTTACAACCCTAACAGTATGTGCATCTTGTAAAATTAAATATGTTTCTTTTCCTATTGCAGAACTTTTCGAGATGGTTTGCACTGGAAATGAATATGTCAATAGCATCACAATTCCAGTCATAATGATCCCAAAATCTGCGGGAGATAATATTAGGAAATCTCTGGCTAATGGTGGCAAGAGTAAGTTATCTTAAAACACATAACATAAAACAGTTAAACCTTCTTTATATTTTGGTGGTGTTTAGTTTGCATAAGAATACATTTATTCCCAAATAGTATGCTGGAGTATGCTTATAAATAGCTTATATTATTATCCTAAACTAAATTATTTCTTGAAAGATTCTAGTTGTAATTTTTGTACTATACTTTTCGGACTACTGCCACACTTTCATTTGGCTTTTATTTTATTGCTATTTCTTAGAAATTTTTTTGGTGCAAAACTGTTTTTTTAAACTAGATCTGTGAGTATGTGGTAGCTATAAGAAAACTATTGCTCACTTATTTTCAAAAAATAAAATATTTCTAATTTTCTCAGCAACTTTCAAAATGTTGTTAATTCTTACATCAATTTTGACAATTACCTTTGTAGAAGGGAACAACAGCCCTAAACGTACTGCTAATCTGCATCATTTGTTTTGTGTATCTGGGCAAACAAAAATATGTTTATATTTTTTCAAAAATTTGTGAAGTATAACTTAATTTTGAAGAGCATCTTTCGACTTTCTTGATGTTGTCCTCAAACTCTTAATTTTGTGAATAGGGAAATAGCCTTCATAGATGCACCAGGATTCTATCGAACCTCCGTAATTTGCTAAAGTTGTGCCAGACCCTTGTAATTTGATATTGATTAATTATATTGATTGCATCAATCATTGTAAAGAAATCTTATTGCTAAACACATTTTATTTTCTTTGAAAGAATAACTACGTCCATCATATAATTGCTAAACACATTATATTATCTTATGTTATGTAATTTTTTTAGTATATTTGCATTTTTTTTACCTCATATGCTTCCAAAATTGTTGAATAAATGCGGGCTGTGCATTATAAAAAAATGCATTATCTGTTTGTGGATACTTTACTCCGGTCTCTGTTAATCTCTACCTATTTTGTATCTTCTATTCTTTAAAGCTGCTTCTAAAAATTCATTTTCTATTACAGTGGATGTTCTATTGTATTCTCCAATTAGGCCAGTTGTGGACATTTCAGCTTTCTTTTTGTGGTTAATGGCTGTTGCAACTGTTATTTGTGCTTCCTTCTGGCCCAACCTTGTTTCTTATGACCAGGGTGATGAGCGTTATGATCATCTCACAAGAAAGGTTCATCATTTGAAAACCCGTTTCATTTTTCTTTTTCTCTTTTTTTTCTGAAGTGTTGTAATCAGACAGTGAACTTATGTGTTTTACTATTAATATGTGTAGATAACTTTTGAATTTTCTTAGCACATTTTAAATTTTCAACCTCTTCTTTGATCCTTAACCTATTTCTATTCATTATCTTGATCTACTTTCTAATTTTATTTGAAAACTTATATAGGTTTTTTTTTTGGATTGAAGGATAGTGAAGGATGAGAATGAAAGCTAAACAATTTATGGGTTAACTGTGAAACCACGCCATTAATTTAAGTTTTTGGACCATTTTTTTTCATTTTTATTTTCTGAAATTTCTAGCACCCAAACATAGCCTGAGTTTTGGAGCTGCTTGGTTTGTTGAAATATTCAGTATGGTTCTATTAACAAGTGAAATTTTGTTTGCAACCAGTGAGATTTATAATTAGTTTGCATTTTAATATAAGTTCAAGTTATTGCTTCTTTTTTTTGTTTTTTTAAAATATCTGTTAATTTGCGGTAGTTTTATTGTATTGGTTAGTAAACAAGAGAAATTTAAGTGATTATCATGTTGAATCATAATCTAATTTTATCGTGTCAGTTTTGTACTATTGCTTGATAGAATTAGATGGTTTTTTAGTTCATCTACAAGTACTTTATGTTTTACTCCATCAGATTTTTTATCTAACCTCGGTTCAGTTTGGTTTGTATGTTAAATAATTTTGACAGATTTGTGTAAAACAAATGTTATTTATTGCTTCCCATTATAATTGGTGGATAGCAAGTTCTTTATTTGTTTTAATTTTTCTCCATTCTTATTTTTAAAAAAATTGGATAGGATCTGTCCAGCTCCGTTGCTAACTTGAAGGAAACTACAGCAAAAGAAATACTCAAAGTTTCTACGAAGGGGGCAATAATTTTCATTGTAGCAGCATCCATTTTTTTGATGTTGCTTTACCTTTTCATGTCAAAATGGTTTATAAAGCTGTTAATTGTACTGTTCTGCATTGGCAGTGTACAGGTATGTGAATCTTGTACATGTTTGTCTCTTCGAATTCATTATGGTCAACAAACGATAAGAAATCCTTAGTGTTTTATTTAGGCTTATTTAGGTTTCTTCTCTACCCAGGGAATGCAATTTGTCGTGGTTTCACTTATTTCAAGGTATATTGGTATCAAGACATGTCAGCCAGTTTTTTCAGTCTGCTGTATTATTTTCGTTTTCCTCTTTTTCCTTCCCATCGCATGATAATAGGCAATTTTGGATTTTTTTTTTGTTTGGAAAGATTAACACTCAATTCCTATGTATTTATATATACCAACTTACCTATCTATGAAAATGTGTATTTCACTTAAAAGTTAAAATGGTGTTACTTTTGCTGTGATATGAAAGATTTGGGTGGTAAAAATGTAAAAAATTTAGATGTTAGATATGCAAATACATAGGAATTGGGTGGTATGTATGTAAATGGCACTTTTGCATTTTGGTTTTCAATTTTTTTATTTTTTTTTGTTTTTGAAACAAAACATGTTTGGCTATTTGATTATTTTTTAAAAAAATCGAAACTCCATTTTTTTAGAAACAAAAGATAAAAACATTTAAAAAACACACTAAACAAATAAAAGTTTTAGAAACAAAAGAAAAAACAAAAATAAAAAGTAAAAGATAATATTGACCCCGAACAAGCCCTAACTAATTAGTGTTGAACAGGATGTTTAAGGGCTGTGGGAAGATCACATTAGAACTCCCGATATTTGGTGAGTTTACTATTCTTTCACTTGTCCTGTTACCAGTCTGTATCGCATTCGTCGTAGTCTGGGCCACCCATCAAAGTTCAACTTATGCTTGGATAGGCCAGGATATTCTTGTAAGACAAATGCCTTATTCTCTTCACTTTTCTTAAACATTTTGCATATTTCTCTTTGCATTCATTTGTTATGACATATATACGTTCTCATTGTTACTTTGTAATCTATTAAACTGCTTAAGGAATATTCTCAAATATATATGCATGAATGCATATTTGTTTGTAGGTATGCTTGTATGCATGTGTAGGTGTTTGCAATTATTAAGGGTTTATTTGGGGCAGCTGCAACTTATCCAGCTTATCCTGATAAGCAAGCTGTCTGTCTGTTTGGTTAGTGCGTTTTGCAAACAACTGATTCTGGATAAATGACCAATCTGCCCTTGTTCTTGATAAGCTGTTTACCTGTTTGGTTCGTGCGTTTTGTAAACAACTTATTTGCAAATGTTTTTTACAAATTTTCCAATCTTCTTATTGCAATAAAAATGGGGACATAAATGTGAAGATTGATGAACAGGAAAATACAAAATATTCTTAAAATTAAAGTTGAACTATTAAGACATGAAAATACAAAATATTTATATCACTTAAACATTTCATAACAAATCACAAAAACACAGTTACCTTAACAGGAAATACAATTTAACCCACTAATATGTACTATAATGATACCCAAACAAGAAGAAAATATAACATGTTAAAATAACAAGGAAAAAAGTTATAATGTTGACTTTAAAATGTAGCACATATCACAGCCCATGTTGCCCGACTCTGACACTCTAGAACCCAGAGCAAAACTGTCTGACTGGAATACCATAGAAATGGAAGCAGTAGAAGCCAGAGAGGTGTTCTGAAATTGTGATACCGACGAATTGTCGGCCAATCTGAAGAATTTGCAGTCCTCTTGTCTTTGTGTCCACCGCAGACACCTATAAAATTGCCTCCTGTAGCTATGTGACTAGCGTGACGTGAGTAGCAAAGTTGGAAGCCTGCACCAACACATCACTTGCCCGGACTTCCCTGAATATCTAGAACTCATTGTCCTGTAGTTAATAAAAAGAGAATAGATCAGAAAAAAATTTGAGGAATATATTCAAAATATACTTACTCAAGTATGAAGAAGCCAACCAATAGCAACAGTATGAGAAGCCAGTTCATATCAATAGTATGAGAAGCCAGTTCAGAACTCCCTCAAATATGAAAGCAGGGACATAACTCAAGCTATTTCATCTCTGCAAATCAATTCTTATGTATTTACATTTCTACCACCTTACCATATGGATTGACAAATAAATCAATTCTTATGTATTATAAAAAGGGTGGCATTTACATACATTCCACCCAATTCTTATGTAGTTACGTATCTAACTGAACTTGTTTTTACATTTATACCACCCAAATCTATCATATCACATAAAAACCGTAGGAATTGAGTGGTATGCATGTAAATCTTTCAAAAAAAAATAACAAATCATGAGTACTGATATCAAGGCCTATGGCATAATTGGCAAGCATGCTGATATCAAGCTCAATCTAGTAATCAGTCAATCACTTAACTGGTTTTTAACTTACAAAGCTCAATTTGATGTCAGTCTCAGTATTCTATTTCCACAAATAAAAATTACGAGAAGTTCTTTTAACTTACAAAGTATAATTTGTACCAAGCTCTAGAAGTCCTTCAAAGTTAAAATGATAATTTATACCAACGAGAGTAATACAAACACATTGAAAAGTACAGTTACTAAAATCTGCACAAAACACAACTAAACTCTGGAGCAGGGCTTTCACTCAATGCATATTCTCCCTATGATTCTATTCATAAACTCTATGGAAACCTGAAAACAGAAACATAATTAGCATAAGATTTTCATTCTTCAATTAACAGGTTATTCCTTCAAACGAAATAGATAAATAAAGTTTAGTTATTTGCAATTTTTTCCCTTCATAAAGTCATCCCCAAAAAGTTCTAGCAACAAAAATTAATGAGATATGAGTAGTGCAATAGTGATTTATCAAAGAAGTGTTGTACAAAACAATTGAAATATAACCATCAACGATCAAATATTAGCAACAATATTGTTGCCATGGAGATGAGAGAAAAGAAAAACAATGGAAGAAAAATAAAGCTTGATGCTAAGTTTTTCTCTAAAATTGGCATACAACAAATCACAGAAGATATTCAAAACATTAGTGGGCATTCAAAGCCCCAACCAATAGATGAATTTAGAGATACCATAAAAAAGTGCACCGAAAATATATATTTGCATTTTCATGATCCATCCAACAGAAGTAAGTTCTACTGAAAGTATTCTCTAATATTTGCATCTTCAGCATTCATAAAAAAGTGCACCGAAAGTACAAAACAGACAAGCACTCCATCCAACAAAAGAAATTTTAATGTTTGATAAAATGATTCGAATGTTAATTAAAGAAGGTGGATAAACTCAAGAATCACATATTGCATCTGTTATGCGCTCCCTCAAAACAATCATCTCATCTGCACCTTCGCCAGCTTGGGTGTTAAAATCTTCAGCATCCATTACTTCATCTGGTATGGACTGCCCAACCTGGAATTCAAATGCTTCAGGCGATATATGCATGTCATCGGCGTCAACCATATCGAAGTCCATATCAGAACGAGAGGGGTGCCTTCTAATGAAATTGTGGAGCGTTATCATCGCCACAACAATATGTATCTATTTTTTAAAAGGATATGTCGGCATATCATGAAGAATGACCCATTTCTTCTTCCATACTCCAAAAGTCCTTTCGATTACCCCGCGTAAGGAAGAGTGACGTTTGTTGAACATCTCTTTCCTACCATGTGCGACACCACTTGACCTTTCAAAATCAGGAATGTGATATTTTGTATCTGCATGACTTTAAATACGCTCTCTGTAATGGATATCCGACATCCACCAAATAGTACTTGCTTGACATGATTTACATTAATAGTAACCCTTGAAGAAAAAATCCAAAAAATTAATAAAAGATAACACACCTTGAGGCGGATGTGGGAAGCATTGTCGACTGTTATTCGTAGCAAAGCTAAAAATACGGCTGTCATGTGCACTCCCTTCCCATCCGACCATCACAAATGTGAAACACGTGTTGAAGTCACATACAACCATTACATTTTGTGTAGGTGAACCACACCGTCCAATGTATGCAACATTTTCATCGCTTGGGAGTCGGGCATCGACGTGCATATCGTCAATTGCCCCAATGCAGTTCTGTATTATTTGTTAGTGATCTCTACGATAGAATGTAAATTAAATTATGAAATGAGAAGAACAAACTAAATAGACTAACCTTAAAAAATGACATGTAACGCGCGTCATTGGCTATTTTGGTTGGAGTTTTACTGAAAGTTGGATCTTCTGGCTTAATTATTTGTTAAGCTAGGCTAATTAGTGATCTTATACCAATAGAGAAGTATCGACCTATTGTCTCTGAGGAATGTTGAAATCTTCCATAGCTCCTCTGATTGATTCATTTTGAGATAAAATAAACAATGTAATGCCAAAACTTCTCTTGTAGTCGTTCTAGCCCGTAGTCGTTCTGGCCGAACCTACAAGGTCGTGATTCATTCGTAATTCGTTAAGAAGATCCAAAAAAATTGGTACAGACATACGCAATATGTTGCTGAATCTTATGGGATGGCCAGCAAACATCTCGCCCACCCATTTATCCACAATAAATGACGAGGTCATTCGCGGTGTTCTTACTATGTTTGAGCAGTAGTACTCTAATAACAATATAAGAATTGTCGCACCCATTCTTCTGCGGCGTTCTCGGTATAACACTTGTCGTCGCCAATCCATCATGTATGAATGTTTTATCAAGCATAAATAATTTCTTAAAGGTAACATAGAGAGATCAAACAAAAATGAAAAAAGAAACTTGTTTTTAAAAATATACTACAAAAAAGCCAAAAAAAATTGTCCATATCAAATATTTCACCAAAAACCTAAAGCAAAATACTTCACCCTAAACCTAAAATACTTCACCCTAAACCTAAAACAAAATACATCACCTAAAACCTAAAGCAAAATATTCATTACAATAAACAAAATACACTAGAGACGACATATGAAATATTTATTTATCAATTGAGAGACACAAATAATCAAGCCGGAGCTCGGGGCGGAGCCTCTTGAAAATCTGCCTGCGGGTTGGGTCCTCGAGAACTCTAACACATTTCAAGTATAAAAAAGGATCAGCAAGAACTTCTGGAATTTCTTCTAGATAACTCATAAAACCATCAACAGTGGGATTATCCGGCACTGGTTTAATTGATATCGGAGCTTCAAATACAGTAATCAGTCTATCAATTGAGATTTTAACGAAAATAACTTTATTTTTTCCTTTTCTTTTCATCTTACGCCTCTTTGATTGGCCAGTTGATTCAAGCTCCCTTGGGTTTATGATAGGGCTTTCACCTGAACCAATAACCTAATCGGGGATCATGTCAACTGAGATGCCAGCAAAGCCCTGCTCACTGGGGTTGAATGCATGCTGACTCGTAGCGACAACTCCCTTGAACATAACATCCAATTTCTCTTCCAAGTCCGGCTCAATTCCGCATAACTTAAATTTTTTTTGCATTTGGAACTACCTGCAACAAGAAGGGAAAGGGGGTGTGAGCATATTTGACAAAATAAAAGTGTAAATGTTGATTAATTGAGGAGTTTGTATGGGTATAATTATTACCTCTAACTTCTCGGTCCACCATTCCTCTGAAGCATCCACGGTGCGCTTGATAGGATCCCAACCCAATCCCGTCGATCCCCGCTTAAAGTCCCTCTAAGTTCCTTCCATAACTTCTACTCATTCTTTAGTTGATCTCATTTGTTCTTGATTTTCAGTCTATCGTAATCTCGCCCTGTCATTTCTTTAAATTTTTGGAAATATTATGTCATCTTTCTTTATTAAAGTAGGTGGTAGGTCTATTTTTAAGTTCAATCTCCTTAATACATAAGTTGTAGAAAATGTATGTCACATCCTTATACCACATTGCTGATGAAGTCTCTTCTTTGTTTTCATTCATAATGCGAGTAATGAAACATATAGATCAAATAATGCAATGACATTGAAAATAAAATAAAGAATCAAGAGCCCTGTCATTTCTTTAAAGTCCTTTATTTTTTGTTCATAGCTTTAAGAAGCTCATATTGCACTCAATGGTTAAAGGGGTCAAATACAAATAAAAATTTCTCATCTTGTATGTAAAAGCTCCAAATATAAATTCAAATAGAGAAAAAAACATCTGGCAAGTGCAGCAAAGCTGAAGCAGTCAGTTCTCACTCCAATTTAAACCTATCAAATTGCGTAAATTAAAATTAAAACAATCCAAACAGCAAAACAGTACGAGGAATGAAATAAAAAATATGAATATCTGTTTAAAAAAAAAGCATTTTCTTTCTTATGCAAACTAGATTAGCACAGAGAGTTGCATTTCTACCAATAATAAATCCACAAATCTCGAGAGCCATGGAATCTTACAAATTCGTCCTAACAAAACTACATTAATAATATCGAACAAAAGCTTCACAAAGATGTATCAATTCCGTCAAGAATGAAATATAGTTTCCTACGCATGAGAGTGCTACTCCACCAAGTTCTATCCATTCTATCATGAAAAGCAAAACAATAGCATTAGAAAAAGGAGAAATATAGCAATAAGAATTAAACATATCATGACATTTTCATAAAGATGTAAATCGAAAAAAAAAAACAAAAGTGAACAGATCAAGCCAACTTTCACAAAAAAAAAAAAAGTTATAACAATAAGAAGTAAACATATCAAGCCAACTTCCACAGAAAAAAAAAAAAAACCAAAACAAAGATCATGAACAAAAATGATCGGATGAACAAACTGCGAAAAGAAAAACATCCAGCCGCATCTTCACGGAAATATACAAATCGGAGAGCGGCAGAGGACCGAGGAGACAAAAGGATCGAGGAGATAAAAAATGAGGTTACCAGTGAGAACGAGAACAGAAGACGGAGGAGTTCTGCGAACGGATGACGGAGGAGTGAACAGAATAAGGAGGAGCGAACAACGAACAAAAGACGGAGGAGACGGAGGATTGCTGAGGAGTGCTACGCACGAATTCGACAGAAGAGCCGTTGCAAAATTAGGGTAGAGGAGACGGGCGCACGGGATCGACAGACGAGCCGCGTTGCGAAATTAGGGCAGAGGAGACGGAAGGGGCATCAGGGGTCTTTTGACAATATTAAACGCGGATCGCGGGTAGGACTCCGCGATCTGCCTATAATACAAAAATCAAAACGAAGTTTTAGCAAAAGTTGCGTGACCTGTTTTTCCAAACAGGTGATGGCATTTTGAAAACGCTACCGCTCTAAATAAGCTGTCCCAAATGCACCCTAGATCTTGTTGTGGCTTATTGAAATTTTTTATTGGTTTCATTGTAATGCGGTATACATTTGGATGCATTTCACAGTATCAGTTTTTGTTGGCTTTACCAAATGCTTTCTCTTCTATTTTTAACAGAGCATCTGTTTGTTGATTACGGTGTTACAAATGGTTCAATTGCCAAATATAAAGGTAATATGAGAACTATACCATTTCTGTTTAACAGCTACTATTTTTCTTTCTCACAGATTTTTTTTTGTTTAGGTTGCTTCGGCTCTTCTTTTATCTGCTTTTCTTTATGATATGTTCTGGGTGTTCATATCGCCGTTTATCTTCAAGGAAAGTGTGATGATTGCGGTAAGATCAATTTTTTTTATTTTTTTATTTTTGTGAAAATTTGTTTTAAGTGTTAGCTGACCACTTTCCTGATGCACAACGTTTAAGCTGCTACCAGATTTTCTTGATAAAAATTGCCTTCACAGATGACTGAACTTCATCTGCATCTCTTTTGTGTATAGGTTGCTCGTGGTAACAATGGTGGAGGGGCTGCCATTCCAATGCTTCTCAGACTTCCTCGGTTTTTTGATCCTTGGGGTGGATATGACATGATAGGCTTTGGGGACATCATATTTCCTGGTTTGCTCGTTTCTTTTAGTCTCAGGTATCCTTATTTCACTCTTATCCCCTAAATACAATTTTGTTAGGGAAATTACATATGTAGCACACGATTCTTATGTATTTACATATCTCGCACCTAATCTTTAATATTTGCATACATAGCACTTTGATGCTTTAAATCTATGCATGAAAAGACGTATCTCATTTTTAAAAGTGGTAATAGTGCTGTTTTTATGTGATATTAATGATTTGAGTGCTATGTGTGTAAATATAAAAGTTTAGGTGTGGATACGTATATTTACATAAGAATTTTGTGAATTTTGTGAAATATATGTAAATGGCAATTTTATCAATGTTTACTATTGAAGTGAGGAAGCATGGCGTATGTATGTTTATTCACTTTTGATTAGGTAAACCTTGCCAAGTTGAATGGATCAAAATGGGAGATCATTGAGATGGAGGAAAAAAATCTACTCTTCTCTTATGTTTTGGCCTACAAAAACATGGTGACTTCAACAAAGTTGTTGATAATACCTTTAAAAAAGCAGGGAAGACCTAACAACAGAACACATCAAAGGCATGATGAATGCGCACTACGATCATTTAATGGTTGATGTGTTCATAAGGGTCAAATAACTTCCCATGAGTGTCTATTCCAAACAATTTAAACCTTAATTAGATGGGGTTTTGTTGGATAACATTAATTAGAGGTTAATTTTTTTATAAAAAAAGAGTTTACAATGAGAAGAATGTTGATGACTAGCTCCCATTGAGAATTCCTCCAGGACCAAGTGCTAGACTTATTTCGAAGGACATCACAATGGGTATCATGAGATGAGATTGGGTTAATTTTACATTGTCCATTGGAGAGCTATGTTGAATTTCTACTCCAATAATAATTAAAAATTTAAGACACATGGATCAATGTTTTGTACCATTGGATTTGTTTACTTATAACACTCGGATAGCAAATAATTTAAGGCAAACAGATCGAGGTTTTGTATCGCTAGATTTGTCTCTTTATGACGCTTGGATTGTAATCCGTGTGCTTTCCTATAGGATCGTCGGCCTCTAATTATTTTTCCCTTCTTTTTTGATTTATTCTTGTATTGCCTCTGAGAGTTATATATATACCTCCCTTATTGTAGAAAGATGTGAATGAGATTCTTGAGTGTGTTTTTCAATTATTTATCTTCTAGCTAGTTTCAGAGCGAGGTGAGGGTGTTTAATTCTTTCGACATTTATTCTTATTCTCTAAGGTAAGGGTTTTCAATTCCAACTTTAGTATTATTATCTAAGGTAAGAATTTTTAATTTCAGCTTTATCCTTCTTGCCAAATTCTCCTTCTATTCATTATGTCTGGGCTCTTGACTTCCCTTCAAAGGAATTGACCATGATTGGTGAAAATCATACCAAAGAAGAATTATATGTATTTCAAGTATCTTATCATTTGGATAAAAAAAAATACTTTTAATGGTCTCAAATTGTGAATAACTTTTTAAAGAGAAAGGGAAAGATCTAACATCTTGTGAATCTATCTCTGGAGCCCAAAGACCTACAGTTCTTACTTTGGGAAAAAATTGATTTTGTGATCATGACATGATTATGGAATACTATGCCATTGGAGATCAGTGAGCGTTTTATGTTTCTCTTCACTTCAAATGAGATTTGTGATACAATTAATCAAACTTACTCAAAGGTGAAAAATGATGCACTCATCTTTGAAATTAAGACAAAGCTCACTACTATCGAACAAGGTAATCATCCCACCATTAAATATTTTAATGCCACGAAGTTTTATTGGTTAGAGTTGGATTGCTGCCAAAATCTCATGATGTTCTACTTTGAGGATTGGGCGGCCCTTACAAAATTTGTTAAGCATAAAAGAATCTTTGCTTTTTTGGTATGACTCGGTAATGAAGTTAGAGAAATTCAAATTCAAATCTCAAGCAGGGAAAATCTCCTCTCTCTGAATTTTTTATCTCGTTCAAGGAAAAAATAGAAGAAGAATAGTGATGATCAATGGTTGGATGCTATATATATTGAGCAAGAAAATTTCAAAATCCCAAGATAAGGGGCTTTTGACACAACTTTCTCCAAAAGGACAACATTCTTCTTTCAAAAGAAATTTCTGTTGCAACAACTGCAGAAAGAAAGAGCACACCAAAGACAAATGATGGAAACGTCGCAGGAAGCCCCAATCTATGGAGGACGTAAAAATGGAAATAAAAAAGGGTAGGCTTGCCTAATGGAGTCAGAATGACTCAATTTAAAAGAAATCAATTAATTAAATAATTTTTTCAACTCCATAGAAAAATTATTAAGATCTTATTCTTATTCTCAAAATGGTATGATTTCTAAATTTTATATTCTTAATGCCTCTAATAGTTCTTCCTCTTTATGGATCCAAAATTCAGGGGTCACCAACTACATGAAAAATCTTGTCAATATATTTCAAACTTACAAATCCTGTCCTAACAACAAACAAAAAAAAAGTTACAGATAAATCTTTATTGGAGAATAGGGAGACATCGTAATTTCTCCCACCATAACCATAGTAACATATTATATGTCCAACAAATTGCAATTATTCTTTTATCTATTAAAAATTTTTATCAAAAACTACAATTGCAAAATAATATTTTTTACTAATTATTAGATTTTTTTCTGGATCTCACTACGGGAAAAATGATTGGGTAAGCTGGAGGTAATGATGTGTTATACTTTTTTGAAGATCGAGACATGTTACCATCCTCATTCATCTCTCATATTACCGACAATGTTTGGGCACATCATTATAGATTAGGACATCCTTTTTTTAAAAATTTTAGTGTATGTTTCGTTTACTTTTTATAAATATAAACATTAAAATTTTTATTGCAAAGCTTACAAAATTTCTAAACATTATCGTGGTTTTTTTTTCCTGAAAGCGTCTAGATCTTCTAGCCTTTTTAGAGTAATTCATTTTGATATTTATGGATAGGGCTGTAAACTATCCGATTTTGAACCGATCCAAGGGTGGCTCAAAATCAGATCCAATTGACAGTTTATGGATCGAAATAAGCTCATGGGCTGATTGAATCAATTTTCGATCCAACTTGGATCAAAATTGTCTGATTTTCAAGCCGGGTCAAATTGTAAACCGGTTAGGTTGAGTGTTGTTTTTGGCTCGCGAGTTTGATTGATCCGGCTTAAACACATGCTCGATATAGGTCGAACTCATGCTTGATCTAGCTCGAACACATGCTCGTTCTAGCTCAAAAGCATGCTTGATCCGACTTGAAACACTACTTGATTAAGCTCAAAAGACATAATGAACCTCGAAAACTTAATTAAAACAATAATCAATTATTATTATTATAAAAACACATTAAAATATACAAAAACAGGAATAGATCGTAATATTTTTCATTGAAGGAGTTTACAAGTTATAAATTTACAATAAGGCCAAAAATATATGATTTGTGCGCGCGTGTATAGCCTTTGACTATTTATAAAATTAGAATCCATAGATTACAAATTACAAATTTACCATTGATCGTTACAAATTATAATTGACAACTATAAATTATAAATATTAAAATTACATATAACGTAAACTCTTGATTAATCTTGATGCCTTCCATCCTCATGAACATATTCCTTCAAAACTACGCAAAAGTAGAACTTGAAAGAAAAACATAAATTCTATAAAAGATATAATATTTGCAAGAAAAAAATAAAAAGTAATTATATCTAGAATGGGGCATGCCTTCGCTCATCATATTTAGTTCTATAATGATTAACGAATGCATTGAAGTACTCATGTTCTTATAGGAAACACAAACAAAAAAAGACAAATAGGAAGAGTTTGAAAAATAGCCAAACAAGAAGAGAGAGAAAATAGAGAAAAAATAAAAAAAAATCAAGAAAACATCACAATTCAATGAATCATATCAAAATAATTGGACACATTATAACTTTTTAATTGTTTTAAACATGTTTGTGCCCTCAAATAATTGTATATGATAATTTGAATTTTTCACTGTCAATTTGAGATATTTGTGCCCTCAAAAAATAGAAAATAAAATAAAGTTAAACAACACAACAACCCCCAAATGCCAACTTCCAAGTTCCTACCTCCAGGGTTGTCACAACTTGGTCCAGGAGCTTGTAATTACAAAGGTAAGTGTCGGTCGGACAGAGTAAAACTGTCTAACAATTTCATTCCATCATTAAAATGAAATCCAAAATATAAAAGAATCATTCTATTTATAAAATTTAAAGTTACAAGCAGTTCGTATAGTTTTTTAAATATTTACAACTGATATGTTCTAAAGCATGCTTAATTTTATTTACTTTTGCACTTGTTTATGGATTTACTCCTTTTAATTACTTGATCACCCATTGTTGTAGCCCCTCCACTAGATATAGTATTACTGAAATTATATTCCATGTATTCAATTTTAGATCTACATAAATGAAATCTTTTTAGACTCTAAAGTTCGCCTCCATAATTCAAGTATTTTTTGAACTATTTCTCTAATTATATCCATAAGAAGGATATCATCGGCGAAAAACATGCACCAAAGCACATCCTCTATAAATGTTCTGTAAGAATATCTAAAGCAAAATAAAAAAGATATGAGCTTAAAACTGATCCCATATATAATCTAACTGAAATAAGAAAATACTTGGTCAATCCTTCTTGTTTTTAAACATAAGTAACAACTCTAGTATGCGTATCATTAATAACTTGAATATAAGTAATATTAACACGTTTTTTTTAGAACTCTCCATAGTACTTGGAACCTTATTGTAAGTTTTTTCTAAATCAACAAAAATCATGTAGATTCTTCTTACTCCTTTTGTACTTTTCCATCAAAACTCTCAAAAAATGTATAGCTTCCATAGTAGATCTAACCAATATGAATCCAAATTGATTTTCACAAATTTTTGTATCACATTGTAACATATGTTCAATTACTCTCTCATAACTTTAATGTATGACACATTAATTTAAATCTTTTATGATTTGCATACTCTTATGCATCTCCTTTATTC